TTCCCCTGTGATTCAGGCAGCCTGGCCCATTCTTGACTTCTTTTGGCGGGGAGTCCCACGGGCACAGGACTCTATCAGACACCTATGGAGATACTCCTGGAGGGGCTGCCAGTCCAAGACCAGCCTTCAGACCCCACCAGACCCTCATGGCTCCAAGGCAGTGTGAGCCAGAGCTGCAGGCCTGGCTCAGGGCATTGGTCAAGAGCTAGTAGGTAGATGGTTCCCAGGGACAGTGTTGTTGTTTTTTAAAAAGTCTTTATTGTTGAAAGTATTACATGTGTCTCCCTTTTCTCCCATTGACCTCTCCCAGCCTGCTCCCGCTCCTGCACAGGCCCTCACCCCCCTATTGTCTGTGTCCAATGGTTACGCTTATATGCATGCACACAAGCCCTGTGGTTGATCTCTTACAGGGCAGTGGTTTTTGAGGGACCCTCACCAACAAAAGCAGGCCAGCAACAAATATCTATATAGCCTTTGTATTGCTCTGCAACATGGTTCTCCCTACATCACTAGGGCTCTCCCTACATCACTGGGCCAGGAGTTTGCAGATGCTTTTAGACCACGACTGTCCATTCATGGGTGTGAGGTCCAGATGCGCAGAGGTCTCACTGCCACAGCTGGGCTGCAGCTGGAGCCGATCTGCAGCTGGGGTCAGAAGGCAAACTCTCCAGTCCTTTGCTCGGGCTCCAGGGAAAACGTTCTAAGTTTCTCTATTGTCATTTTTATGTTTTTAGTCTGTTCTTCACTGGTTTTGGATATAACTTTGACTGGCAACGTTTTCAGGTATCTTATTGACAAAAACTTAAATGCTATTGAACAAACTACCTCTTTTTCTGGAGTTCCTCTTCTTTCCCTTGGTGCGCCCCTCCCCAAGTCAGCCACAGTGGATGTGTAACTTCTAGGGGACTCGCGGTCTATTGGAAAGGACAGGGCGAGAGTGAGTACCCACATATTCAAAGCAGACGTGATTAGCTATTTTTCCTGGTGACAACTATTTCCCCCTTAAAATATGGAGAGACACCACAATGGAGAACATGGGTATGAAACTCATAAGGAATCATACAGTTGTGACATTAGACATAAGAACAGAGCATTTCAAAAGGAAAATTACCTGAGGTTGCAGAAGTATTATAGTCGTACCTATAAATATAATTGTTGCACTGCTGCTATAATTATACAGCATCCTCCAGGCCAGAAAGTTCATAGTTGCAGGAATTTTTCATCTCGAAGAATTTTAAATATTTTCTATTTCTATTCTTTTTGCCTCCAACTTATAATGACTATTTTAAGGCCTATAGAAGATGGACATTTTGTGGAGCAACAATTTAAGAATGTAGTAAAGAAAAAGAAAGTATGATGATGACATCACTATGATCATGTCCATTCTCTCCCTCTCTCTGTTTTTAAATACTTACTGAGACGTGGGTCTTATTTCTGTTCTTAGCTTGTGCTCAACTTAGCTTATCAGGAAATAAATATTTATTCCAAGAAACAAAAGGATAAATATTCTCGAAATAGAAAGTATCACGTCTATTGCCAAATTGCTTATGAAATAGTGAATTGTTTTTGTTCCCTTTAAAGCAAACTATAAATAATTAGTTACTTTACAGAATTATGATTGCAAGGATCTCTTAATAGTTATCTTATACTTTACACATTTATATGTGGAAATGTAACTCAAAGTATTCCAGTAGCCTATGTTATAAAATTTTACCAGTATAACTAGGTCAAAATTTGTAAATTCTTTCTCTTATCCCTTTAATAAATGTAGTATTATTACATTTACTTGAATAACAAGATACAGTAACTGTGAAATAAATGCATCTGTAAGGATGAGAAATACCAATTTATAAAAAGAAAACATGGTCTAAAGGTTTTGACGGCTTTGATGACAAGGAAGAATTGTCCACTGATAGTAGGTGGGATGTCAGTTCCATGACAGAGAAAGATAAATGCCTAACTCTCTGTGAGGTGTGGAGTCTCTAGGCTTAGGAAGGTAACATGACAATAACATTTCAGGTAAACTTAACCAGTTATTTTCGTGAATGCTAGAGGTTTATGTGCAGTATTTTTTCACTGTAAATTAATATATTTTTATGATCACAGGGCTCTCATAGTGATCATAAATTTTAAATTGCTTTTGCTAAACACAACTGGAAAAGTAAATATTTGAATAAAATACAAAATACCCTTTAATTGCATTGCAAAGCCCTCTGAACTCATGCCTCACTGATAGTATGTACTCTATCTGCATATACTGTTGAGTGGTGATTAAACTAGGATTTTGAATAACTGGAAAAGGTAGCTAATTTATTTAAAAAATTAGATGCTGACAGGGCTCAGTCAGTGAAAATTTCAAATTGTAGAAATTAATTTTGAAAATGCTAATTTATTGTTTTTGAATTATGTTGCGTAGCATAAGTGGAGCAAAGATAAATACTAATAATATAGTAAAGTTGTGCAATGAGAATTAACAAGTGAGCCATATGCTACATTAATATGAAGCTTGAGTTATGTCTCTTTTTTGTCTATAGAGATATAGTCCATATTACAAATTCTGAAATGTTAGGAGTTTAAATCTGTTAGTGCTACCTTCTCTCGACATGACCTTGGTCATTTATTGTCCTCTCTGGGTCTCCGTTTCCTTCATTGTAAAACAGTGCTTATAATAATCCCTATCACCCAGGCTTATGCCAGTGTTCACTGGATAATGTATGTGAAACATTTTGCAATGTCGGGGACAATGTCTGGTGATCCAACTTCTTAAAACCCACATAGAAAACAGTTGCACCTTAAGGATTAATGAAAACAACTGTATAAAGATATCAAAACACTTTGTGCTTTTCAGTTCTGTAAACCTCAAAAAAACATTTTCTGCATCTGAATTGCTATCTGTCCTTGTGTTGCCAATTCAAGGTGATAATCCATTTATGAAAACGGAGTTGAGAGTCACGCTTACCCTAAACGGCCTAATTCTAAGGTCAATAGAGGATTATTGTAGCGGAAATAGAAAATAGATAAATTAAACAATGGAATGGAAGAGAAAATGAATACACTGAGTGACGGAAATGAGACTGTTATATATATACAGCTTAATGAAACACTCACAAAAAATTTACCCTAATTGTGCCCTTCAAGTGGAGAAAGTTATTAAACAAATCCTAGTTTCTTGTAATCACCCATCAATTACTTTGCTACATATTTCAGTTTTGCTTCCTCGAGTATTTTGCTGTAGTACGTTCTATATAGACTATAAGCAAATTACTTATTGAGTGAATGACTATAAAGTTTAAAAAAAAATCAAGGAAAAAACTAGTCATTAAACTATTGCTTTTGATTCATTCCCCAACAATAAAGGAGCTAGTGCAAAGGTGTTAATCTCTTAAGGAGATTGCTAGTCAATTACGGGTTGCCTTGACATCTTTAAAAATTGGTAACGTGTTTAATTTCCTGTTGTGTTGTAGCTAACAGTTGTCGCAACCCTAACATCAAGCTACAAAACCATTTTCCCTTTCGATTTCGAATGAGTAAATTTTTGTGAACTGGTGATCACGTCCAGCCACACACACCACGTCCAACCATCACACGGAAAAATGAGAACTACACGGTGAGGGGTGTGCGCACAGCAATGGTGCCAGGTGGGCTCACAGCTCAGGGGTGATGAGATGTGGGGATGGAAAATGACAGAGCTGGAGGGTGGGTATGTGAACCACAAGGAGAAACAAAGAAAGTTTTGTCCACCTGGCGGACCCAGGGCACTATCATGGTCTGGGTGGTAGTTGCTATTGGTGTCCATGTCTTGGAGAGAGGCACTGTGGGGCATCCTCCCACAGCCGTTCTGGTACCACGGGCAGTGGGCAGCACCGTCTTGGGGCAGCGGGTGGCAAGGCTGGGGCATGGGGCTCCTTCTTAGAGCTCTCAGCGAGGAGTTCCTCTCGGGGATGTCCGGCAGCAGCTCACTGATCAGACGGTGCAAAATACTGTTGTCCGGCAAACTCCCCCTTCTCTTTTCAGCCTTAATTTGGTCACAGATGTCTTTAAGGGCGGAGTCCAGAGCCTCGAATACGGCTGTTTTGCATTTTGCCTTTTCTGTCTGTTTTTTGGGCGGCGAGTGCTTTTTCCTCCGGAAAGGCACGGGGCTGACTAGAAAGGCAAGTTTTGAGAGGCCGGCGTCCGGGTCATGTCTTCTGGGCTCTTCGGGAGTTTCGTGTTTCGCTCTTTCGTGTTTTCGCATCGTGGTGAACCGAGTGTAAGAGGCAGGGCACCGGCCTTTGCAGGAGCTGACGAGGTGCCGGTGATGGTGATGGTGGTGGTGGTGGTGGTGGCTGGACCCATAGAAGCTGTCCGAGGAGGTGAACGAAAAGTGGTCGAAATCGCTCTCGCTGCAGAAGGACGAGCCCTCGACGTGCATGCAGTCACTGTGTTCGGACACCACCCCGTCTTGGTCGCTGTCCGAGAGCTCCAGATGGGTTCTGGGCGGCTCCTCACTGGTGACCTCAATGTGGATGGGCACCAGGGTTTTGGACGTGCAGCTCCGTGGTCCCGGACAAGGGTGCCTGCCTGGATTGTCCTCCTCCAGCAAGGACTCGATGGAGAACCGCCTGCCGGGGCCCAGCCCGTGGTGCTGGGGCTCGAGGACCGCCGGGGACAGCACCTCCTCCCCCAGGTTGGGCATGGATTTGGACTTCTGAATCAACTTTTCGAACTCCGATATGCGGGTGGGGACCATGTCCCTGGGCACCTCGTCCGCAGAGGCCTGGCTCCATCCATGGAGCAGGCCCGGGGCGTGCGGCTCCTGTTCGTACTGCAGGACCCTCGACCGCACGGAGCACATCACCTCGGAG